ACTTTCCCAAGCACTGTATGCTTTTCCAAGGACTGGTCTCTCCCGATAAAACATCCAAAGTACATTTTATGAAGTCTCGCCATCTTTGCCTCTGAGGCATCCTTACTGTACTTCCAAGACAGATTGTTTGTTCTTCTCGCAGTCCATGGAACTTTAAATATTCTTCACCAATACTATACTTCAAATGCATCAATTCTTTCTCAGTGCTTCTCTTATTTATTGTCCAGCGTTCACATTCTTGAAACAACTGAAAAGACCATGCTGGGGTGCAGGCACACCTGAGTCTTCGAGGCAATGCCACAGGTTTTCCTCATGTTGTAAGTCACTTGATTTCTTGACTGCTGTTTTCATGAGTGTTGATTGTGGATTCACACAACATAAAATCCTTGACAATTTTAACATTTTCTACACTTAATATTGGTCCAGTTGTGAGATTTTGGTTATTTTTACATTGAGCTATAATTCATACTGATGGCCGAAATCCTTGATCTTCCTCAGAAAGTGCTTCAAGTCCTCCTTGTTTTCAAAAAAGCAAAATTGTGTCATCTTTGTAACACTGGGTGTTAATATCCTTCCTCCAATCCTGATGACTCCTATCTATCTAATCCAGGTTCTTAGATTATTTGCTTCAGCAACATATTGAATAAGTATGGTGAATGCATACCCTGATGAATACCTTTTGCATTTTAAATCATGCAATATTTCCTTGTCATGTTCAAATGACTGCCTGTTTTTCAATGTTCAGGTTTTGCATGAGCACAATAAAGAGTTCTACAAATCCCTTTCTTTTCAATGCTATTGATAGTTTGTTATGATCCATACCATTAAATGCCTTTCCGTAGTCAATAAAATAGAAGGAAACATCTTTATGTATTCTCTGCTTTGAGCCAAAATTCAAATGACATCAGCTATGATATCCATCATGCCAGTCCTTTCTTTAATTCAGCTTGAATTTCTAGAAGTTCATGTCAATGTAAGTACTGTAACTTTATTAAATATCTTGAGCTGTTTTATTGATGAAGCACTCATGTGTCCATGCCAAGAAAATTCAATGACAGCTACCTGTCAACCAACTGTAAGAGCTCCCTATTTGTGCCCAATCCAAAGAAAGTTGACCTAACAGAATGCAGAAAATATAGAACAAGGTCATAAGAAAGAGGTTCGCTTCTCTTTTATTGACTCTGCAAAGGCATTTCACTGTGTGGATTGTAACCAATTATCGATGACTTTGAAAATAACGAGAATTCTAGAATACAAAAAGAGGCAGTTAATTAAACAGAACTAATGGATCCTGAATGGTTTTAAATTAGGAAAAGCATATGTCAAGATGCTATCCTTTTACCATACACAATTTCAATCTGTATGCTGGGCAAATATTCAGAGACAGCTAATCAGCTAAAGAAGAGAACGACATCAAGAATGGAGAAAGACTCATCAACAGCCTGTAGATGCTGTAACTTGAAAGTGATGACTTGAAGTATTAGTGACAAAGATAAAGAATAGAGCCACCAGTTTAGATTAGATTTCAACATAAATAAATTAAAATCCTTACAAGTAGAACAACAAGGTACATGATAAGGAAAAAAAAAGATTGAAGTTGTTAAATTTGATTTTACTTGAAGTCACAGTCAGCACTCATGGAAACAGCAGTGAAGAAATCAAAGGACATATTGCATTGGAAAACTCTGACGTAAAAGACCTCTTTAAAGTGTTTTAAAGTAAAGATCCCACTTTTGATATCTTTGAGAATTGCCCCCAGTCATGGCATTTTAATAGCTCCGTCTGAAGATGAAAGCTGGGCAATGAGTAAAGAAGACTGGTGCAGAATGAACTGCTTTGGTGGTAGTGTTGGTGAATAATATGGAATATACCATGGATTCCAGAAGAATAAGGAAAAGTGCCCGGAAGGACAGTTAGAATTCTTGTTCTAAGCAAGGATGGTAAGATTTCATCTTACTTGCTTTAGACCTGTTACCAGGAGGGACCAGTCTCAGGAGAAATGTCTCAAACTTTGAAAAGCGTAGGGTAAGGGACAAGAGGAATACACTTAATGAGATGGATTGAGACAAAGATTGCAAAATGGACTTGAGCATAATGATTGTGAGGAGACTGTGGGGATAGACAATATTTCATTCGATTGTACACAGGGTCTCTGTGTACGACAAAAAAATTTAATGGCGCTCTGCAGTGTAGCTTTGAATAGGAATAAGCAAATAATAAACATAATGGGTGAAGATATTTTCATATAATGGCTTCATTATTTAACAACCAATGTCAGAACACTGGCAATAGACAATAATGAAAGCCTTTGATACTTGAAGTAATTGTCAATATAAAGTACTACAGGGAAAAATGGAATGCTAGGAATTGTATGATAGAGGATAAATTTATTAGAGGGTTGAAGTGTAAGGCTTGTACTTATGTTAAAAATATATGAATAATATATGTACTTAAATTTTAGTCATATATTCATTGAATCTTTTGCATAATAATATCTCACTTATATTTTGAGTGGTAGCACAAAAACATTTTTCCTATTTTAAGTTTGTTCTTAGTGTTATTAATTTGATTTTGTTAGTTTTCTAATTATTAAGAGAATACATTATAATTTATGTATTACTGAAAACATCCATAGCTTCCTTAAGAGATTTTAATTTTCCATTCTTTTTTTTGTTAAATCAATTTATTGGGGCTCATAAAATCCATCACAATACATAGATCAATTGTGTAAAGCACATCTATACATTTATTGCCTTCAT